TTCCCGATGTGATATCAGTAACCCTCATTACTGAGCACATGGTAAGACTATCTGTACCATCGCTCATCATGGGGTCAGTTTGCTTCCAAAATCCTCTTTTAGGATCAGCACCTACAGGGCTTGTTTAGTCTGATGTGATAGAGAAAACTGAACTGCACATCTAATGAGAAGATGCTGCAGTCAGAATCCAGATACAACTCGCTGCATGTTAGGGAGAGATCACCAGCTGACATGACTGACATTATTACAGAGACTACAAGGAACAACCGGTCATTAGGTTTTGTTCACTTTGAATTACTGAACTGTTCTCCCCAAAGGCCATACGATACAGAGGGTGGTGTGTTGGAAAGACTTTGTTTTATTCATTAGTGGGATGTGGGTGTTGCTGGCTGGCCAGCATTTATCGCCCGTCCCTGGTTGCCCTCAGAGAGACTTCATAGTAATTGGTACAATTGAATGGCTTGCTGGACCATTTCAGAGGGTAATTGAGAGCCAACTGCATTGCTGTGGATCTGGAGTCACATGTAGGCCAGACCAGGTAAAGGTAGCAGTTTCCTTCCCTGAAGGACATTAGTGAACCAGATGGATTTTTCCAACAATCAACAATGGATTCACGGTCATCATTAGACTCTTAATTCCAGATTTTTTATTGAATTCAAATTCCACCATCTGCCATAGTGGGATTCAAATTCAGGTTCCCAGAACATTAGCTGAGTTTCTGGATTAATTGTCTAGCAATAATGCCACGAGGCCATTGTCATTTATCAATTATTTAAATTTAAACGTTCTATTTAAATTTTTGAACATATGGAAGAGTTTGGATATTTTACGCGTTTCATCAAGATTGATGTGTGCTGTAAGCCATCAGCTGTTTACAGAAAAATCAAGTGACTTTGGAGAAATGAGCCAAGCAAATCTTTCAAGAAGGTAAGAGATGGGCATTATTGCCTCAATTACTGGAAAACCTGCCTTTAAAAGGAGTAGGAGGCCTCTAGGTTAATGGCTGCAATCCTTTCCCAACTTACAATTTGTTTCATTGACCGATGGGTCATTAAGAAAGATATCCCGGGAGCTATAGGTCACAGTGCTGAAAGTCCAGTCTTGGTAGAAAGTCCTGGGAACCTGACATAGTTGCTAAATACCAAGATTTCTGACTAGCTAGTGAAACCTGCAAAGGTGGACTATCCATGTCCTGAAGGCTTGAATCCAGACTGATTATATTCAGAGTTGAAGTTGTGCGATCAGTCAATGACTGTCAACAATTCAACTTTGCGCACATGAAATCCAGCAGATATGGTCCAATTCTAGCCTTTGCTTCCAGACCTTTGGTCCACACAGTCTTTTTATGTTTTGCCTTTTTTAAAAAAGCATCATCTCTGCAGAAACCTGTCTTATTGTGGGGTGTGTGGTTGAGCATGAGCATAGTTTTAATTCCAGTTCTTAGTTTAGATGTTAATCAAAGTTTTCCACTTTGTTTCTAGCAAATGAATTATTTTGAGTTGGTTAAAGAAGTTGGTGAAAATCTTTTATTCTGGATCCTGGGAGAAAAAAAGAAGCATTTTCAGTAACTCAATTAACTCATCTGCTCGTGGAATAATGCAGCATGATTCTCACGTAAATCCACCAGTCACAGGTATACAGCGGGTGGTTAAAACATTCCTCAGTATTAACCCGTTCAGACCCTTACACTCTTATACAACACCTGGCTGTTCCAGGATTTATAGGATTAATTTATTGGCTTTTCCCTTTTTAATTAACCTGCTTGAAGAGCCAAGCATTATAGGAAACAAACCCCACACAGTTCATAAATACAACAGGAGGCAATATGAGGGAGATAGTGTAGCTGCTGCTGGAAGAGGTCAAATATTTGGAGACTGATGACAAAGCAAAGATATTGGGACACAGGGATGAATGATGCAAATTCAGAATGTAGTGTCCAATTAGTTGAACAGGGGGCAAGGAGAAGATACAAATAAAGACTAGAGTTAGAATAGATGAGGGTAGTCTTTCGCTTGTAGGAGAAACTGCAGTGGCGGAGGGTGGGGGGAAGGACTTGTAAACATTTCCAGAATTTTTCTATAATTTCTCAGCTCACACTAACACTAACATCCTCGTGTCCGCTCCCATTCCTGAAAAGGCTTCAGTAGCTTCTCGTCCCAGCCCTAATATTTGTGGCTTGGCTTCAAATTGCCACAACCTCATTCCAATCATTATCCGAATGATGTGTTTCCAGACACATTTCTGCTCCCAGATCCTTCATTATCGGCTCATTTGCCAAAATAAAACTTTACCAACTGCACTAAAAGGCAGGACGGCCTGAAGAAGATAGATTTTTTTGTTTTACACATGAAGCCCTCCCAATTTATCTCGTCAATTTCCCCAGTCACTTGTCACTCCATTTGCTCACTGACCGTGTGTATACTGTCTCCCCAACCACTTACACCACAACCATACATCCAACCCAACAATTACTCCCCTTCAGCCTGTCCTCGATCATCAGCAAAGGATGGAAGGGGGTGTCAAGAGAACCATCAGGCAACTCTTAGTTACGAAGAACCTGCTCACTGATGCCCAGTTTGGGGAAATACCAAGACCACTCAGCACCTAAACTTATCTTTCCTTTATTCATCCATGGGATCTGGGTGTTACTGGCTGGGCCCAGTATTTATTCCCCATCCCTAGTTGCCCTGAGGAGCGATGGTGAGCCTCTTCTTAAACTGCTGCAGTTCACAGCTTTACACCAAACATGGACAAAAGAGCTGAATTCCAGAGGTGAGGTGAGAGTGACAGCTCTTGACATCAAGGCTACATTCGACTGAGTGTGGCATCAAGGAGCCTGAGCAAAACTGGAATCAATGGGTATCAAGGGCAAACTCTCCATTGTTTAGAGTCATACCTGACACACAGGGAGATGGTCGTGGTTGTTGGAGGTCAATCATCCCAGCTCCAGGACATCTCTGCAGGAGTTCCTCAGGGTAGTGTCCTAGGCCCAACCATCTTCAGCTGCTTCATCAATGACCTTCCCTCCATCATAAGGTCAGAATTGGGGATGTTTGCCGATGATTACACAATGTTCAGCAACATCTGTGACTCCTCAGATACTGAAGCAGTCCATTTTCAAATGTGTCAAGATCTGCACAATATCTAGGCTTGGGCTGACAAGTGGCAAGTAACATTCACGCCACAAAAATGCCAGGCTATGGCCATCACCAATAAGAGACAATCTAACCACCACCCCTTGACATTCAATGGTGTTACCATCACTGAATCCCTCACTATCAACATCCTAGGGGTTACCATTGATCAGAAACTCAGATGCTCTCACCACATAAACACAGTGGCTACAAGAGCAGGTCAGAAGCTGGGAATACTGTGGCGAGTAACTCACCTCCTGACTCCCCAAAGCCTGTCCACCATCTACAAGGCACAAGTCAGGAATGTGATGGAATACTCCCCACTTGCCTGGATGGGTGCAGCTCCAACAACACTTAAGAAGCTCGACACCAACCTATGATGCTGCTTGGCCTGCTGTGCTCATCCAGCCCTGCACCTTGTTGTCTAGGACAAAGCAGCCGCTTGATTGGCACCACATCCACAAACATCCCACTCCCTCCACCACCGACGTTCAGTAATATAAGTATGTATTATCAGCAAGATGCACTGCAGAAATTCACCAAAAATCCTTAGCACCTTCCAAACCCCCAACCACTTCCATCTAGAAGGACAAGTAAAGCAGATACATGGGAACACCATCCCCTACAAGTTCCCCTCCAAGCCACTCACCATCCTGACTTGGAAATATATCGCTGTTCCTTTACTGTCGATCGGTCAGAATCCTGGATTTCCCTCCCTAAGGGCATTGTGTGTCAATATACAGCACATGTACAGCATCGGTTCAAGAGGCAGCTCACCACCACATTCTCAAGGGGCAACTAGGGACAGGCAATAAATACTTGCCCAACCAGTGATGCCCATGTCCCATATATTAATTGAAAATGTCTAAGGACCCACTCAGACATAAAACAGCTGACACCATCATCTAAAGATGAATGGGGAGCTCCCCCAGTGTCTGTGCCAACACTTATCTCTCATCCAACACCATTAGCAAATTGGCCTGTTGTTGTCTCCTGAGATAGTAGGAACTGCAGATGCTGGAAAATCTGAGATAACAAGGTGCAGAGCTGGATGAACACAGCAGGCCAAGCAGGAAGGCTGATGTTTCGGGCCTAGACCTTTTCTATCCCACTGCAACTCTCTCGTAATCTCTTCGGCCTTGAAACTGCTCGACCACGTCCTGAAGCAAACCTCTCCACCTATCTTCTCCTCTATCCATCTTCTATCCGCTTCCCACTCTCTCCCTATTTATTTCAGAACCCCCTTCCCCTCCCCCATTTCTGAAGAAGGGTCTAGGCCCGAAACGTCAGCCTTCCTGCTCCTCTGATGCTGCTTGGCCTGCTGTGTTCATCCAGCTCTACACCTTGCTATCTCGGTTGTTGTCTCCTAGCTGTGTGTGGGACCTTGCTGTGTACTTACTTGCTGCTGCATTTCCTACATTGCAACAGGGACTGCACTTTGAAAGGTAATTCACTGGATATTAGGCACTTCTGGGACATCGCAAGGATGTGAAAATTGTACCTTCCATTGTATTGAAACACAATTAACATTTGGAATGCACAATTCACTGGCCCCACTATGCCTTCCACAACAACCACAAGGACAGGTGCTCACTGGATTCCCTCCTTGTCTTGTTTACATTGAAAACAATCAGAAATAGACACTCAGACTCTTCACTAATTACTAATCCAGTGTCCGACGGTCCTTGCTTAAAGTCTATGTCCCAGCAACAACTGTATTGATTCCTCACTGTGGTTACCATCTACTCTCTGCCAGGGAAGAAACCTATCTCCTTCGTCCCTTCACAAGGACAGTCTTAAACAGGAACAACTTGTATCATTTTTCTGAATGGAATGCTGAAGGTTTAATAAGACCACGTCACCTACCAGAAATCTCCTCGAGACACTGTTTGGCAGTTTTGCTGTAGACAGAATCCATTTTTGTTGGACTGGCACTTGTATCACCAGGCAGCAGAGACGAGCCTTCACTGTCAGAGTGGGTTCTGAAAAATGTATTTTGAAGCTTGCGTTAATAATTAATTGCATCATAAAACCTTAAAGTAGGAGGGAGGCCATTCAGCGCATCAGGCCTGTGCTAACCATTTGAAAGCATCTGTCAATTAGTGCCACTCCATACCTTTCACTTGTAGCCTTTTTTTTTTGCTTTTTAAAATATTTATTCAAATCCCTCTGAAAGGTGTAATTGAAACTGCTTCTCCTGCCCTTTCAGCCTGTGCATTCCTGATAGTGACAACTTGATGTGTAAAATGAAACTCTCATTTCTCCCCTGGTTCTTCAGCTAATTATTGTCAAACTGCAAACTCTGGTTAAAAACTCTGCTGCTACTGGAATCTGTTTCATCCAAGTTAACTCCATGGAAGCTCCTCATCATTTGAGATGCCTCTGTTAAATTTCTCCTTAACAATCAAAGCAGGATGAGCTGAACTCCTTCTGGTTTCTCCCTCAAAGTGAAATCTTTCCTCCTTGAGACTTTTGATGACTTGGCATTTATAGAGTTATAGAGCTGTACAGCACAGAAACAGACCCTTTGGTCCAACTTGTCCATGCCGACCAGATATCCGAAACTAATCCAGTCCCATTTGCCAGTATTTGGCCCATATCCCTCTAAACCTTTCCATTTCATGTACCCATCTAGATGCCTTTTAAATGTTATAATTGTACCAGCCTCCAGCACCTCCTCAGCTCATTCTATATACACCCTCTGCATGAAAAAGTTGCCCCTTAGGTCCCTTTAAAAGCTTTCCCATCTCACCTTAAACCTATGCCCTCTAGTTTTGGACACCCCCACCCTGGGGGAAAAGACCTTGTCTATTTACCCTATCCATGCCTCTCATAATTATATAAACCTCAAAAAGGTAACTCCTCAGCCTCCAACAGTCCAGGGAAAATAGACCCAGCTTATTCTTGACTCTCCTCAAGACAATCACAGCCCTCATATCAGGGAATCTGGATCCTGGTGTGCAAGAGACAGTTTCAGAATTTGCAGATGACACGAAACTTGAGAGAATTGTAAACTGTGAGGAGGACAGTGTGGAACTCAAAAGGACATTGGTGCATTGGTTGGAGAGGAATGAATGGATGATTTATTTATTGGTCATGTTTGTCTAGGGAGATACACTGAAAAGTGTGGCAGATGAGCTTCAATGAAGTGTGAGGTCAGAAATCACACGACACCAGGTTATAGTCTGACAGGCTTATTTGAAAACACAAGCTTTTGGAGCATAGCCCCTTTGTCAGGTGAAGTGAGAAAGAAGCACACAGAACATAGACTTTATAAGTAAAATATCAAAGGATCACGCCACTGATGAGGATATATTAAATAAACCTGAGATACTGTTAAATCTTTATTGAGTTAGAAGGTTTTAATTGATTAATATGTATATGTAAATCCCTGAATTCCTTTCAAGTCCCTGTCCTGAGAGGACTAAAGGTTTACCAGTATAAAGAAAGGGTGAAATTTTAGGTCAGACAATGCATGTTAGGTGTGGGGCCTTGTCTAGAATCTGTTTGTGTTTTGGTTTGGAGTCAGACTAGTTTTGTTTCTACAGTAGGAATTTATAAAAACCATATTGACTGACTGTCTATAAATTGTGTGTTTTTTGAACAAAATAGAATGTATCTGCAAATACAAATTCACCCCATACATTCATGTGCGTGTGTGTGTGTCTGTGTGAATGTCAGGGGGAGACTTCAGAAAGAAAGGAGGAGAACACGACCCCAACTACATCAATGGAACTGAGGTTAAGAGGGTGAAGAGCATCAAGTTCCTAGGACTGATGATAACCGATGACCTATCCTGGGCTCCCCATGTGAATGCAACGGTCAAGAAGACACAACAACGCCTTTTCTTCCTCAGGTGGCTCAGGAAGTTTGGCATATCCATAAGGTCCCTCACCAACTTCTACCGATGCACCATTGAAAGCACACTGCCCGGGTGCATAACGGCCTGGTATGGCAACTGCTCTGCCCAGGACCGTAAGAAACTACAGAAGGTGGTGTGCACAGCCCAGACCATCACAGAAACCAACCTTCCATCCATGGTTTCTACTTACATGGCTCGCTGCCGGGGAAAAGTGGCCAACATTCATCAAAGACCCATTGCACCCCGGTAATGATCTCCTACAGCCTCTCCCATCAGGCAGAACATACAGAAATCTGAACACACACACCAGCAGGTTCAGGAACAGCTTCTTCCCGGCCATTAAAAATGGACTCTAGCCTCAAATAATGTAACCTGCAATGTAACCCTTATGCCTCTAAGTCTTTTCGATCTGTACATCCTTTGCTTGCTGTGATCTGCCTGTAGTGCTAGTAAACAAAAATTTTCACGGTATTTTGGTACACATGACAATAAAATCAATCAAAATCAATGAGAGAGAGAGAGATTGTGTGAGCAGGGGAGAGAGAGAGTGTGTCTGTGTGTGTGTGTATGTGGAAGAGAGAGAGACCATCACTCGATGTGGTGTTTTATAAATTCCTTCTTTCGAAATAAAACCAGTCTGACTCCAAACCAAAATGCAAACAGATTCTAAACAAGGCCTCACAACTAACATCGGAGATAGCAAGAACTGCAGATGCTGGAGTCAGAGATAACACAGTTTCACACTTTTCTGAAGAAGGATCCCAACCCGAAACGTCAACTTTCCTGCTCCTCTAATGCTGTCTGGCCTGCTGTGTTCCTCCAGCTCCACGCTATGTTATATCTCACAACTAACATGCATTGTCTGACCTAAAATTTCACCTCTTCTTTACACTGTTAAAACCTTTAGTTCTCTCAGGACAGGGACTTGAAAGGAATTCAGGGATTTACATATACATATTAATCAATTTAAACCTTCTAACTAATTAAAGATTTAACAGCATCTTAGGTTTGTTTAATACATCCTCATCAGTTATGTGACCCTTTGATCTTTTACTTATAAATTCTGTGTTCTGTGTGCATCTCTCTCACTTCACCTGACCAAGGGGCTACGCTCCAAAAGCTTGCGATTTCAAATAAACCTGTTGGACTATAACCTGGTGTTGTATGATTCCTGACCTTGTCCACCCCAGTCTAACACTGGCACCTCCACATTACTTAAACTGCACAGGAAGACAAAACTATCAGCTCAGACTTTCCCAGGATTGGCTGACTGTGAGACAGAGAATCACTTCTCGTTTGAACCCCGGAGTGTGGCTAACCCTGAACTTGGATCGGTTTGTCAGGACCTGCCCCACTGTAACTGACACAGCATCAGCTGCAGTTCAGTAGACAGCACTCTCACCACAGAACTAACTGGCTATGGGTTCAAGCCCCACTCCCACAGCTTAGACGATAAAGTTCAGACAGACACATACTTGCAGTGCAATTCTGAACATCGACATAATTAATGTTGTTGCTGGAGCAAGACATTAAACAGAGGCCCTGACGCGATGAGAGAGCTAACAGAACTATTCTCAAGAAGAGCTGGGCAGCTCTAACACAGTGAACACTTTTCTTTCATCCAACTTCAGTAAAAGAGATTCCACATCGCAGCCTGTGGGATCCTACTGTGCACAGTTGGCTGCATGCCCCTGAATGTGCTTTTGGATGACCTGACAGTGTGAAAGGCACTCTCAGTCTTTAGCTCTAAATTAAATACTCACAAAAGAACTGCAAATACTTGCCATCAGTTAAGGGCACATGGAGTTATAAAAACAACTCTGTGCAAGAAGACGGTTTTGTACACAGGAGTATAAGGAGCTAGAAATGGGAAATCAAAACAAGTCCAATTGGTTTAGCTTGATCTGTACTGTGCACAGACTGTCCACCTTCCTCTTGCCTATGGCTGCCTGCCAATCTCTCTCTGCTCTCCAGTCTGTTGTGTCCACTGACCTATATTGGCTCTCAGACTAGCAATGCTCCAGCTTTTAAAAATCCGCATCTTTGTGTTCTCATGCCACAGTATCTCTGGAACCTCTCACTGTCACAAAACCCTGTGATATTCCTGCACTTCTCTGATTTGAGCCTGAAATCCCCGATCTTAATCATGGACCTGCCCGCAATTGCCTGGGACCTAAACTTTGGAATTCTTTCTCCTTCCTTCTCGCTAACTCTCAGTCTTCCTCTTTTAAGATGCTCCTTAGACCTTAACTGTTTGACCCAGTCTGTAGCCCTGTACCAAATAGTGTCGGTAACAGTCCCACCCAGCAACATAAATATGCAAGCTCATGTTGTTCAAAAAAAAATAAAGAACTGCGGATGCTGGAAATCAGAAGCAAAAACAGAGATTGCTGGAGAAACTCAGCAGGTCTGGCAGCATCTGTACAGAGAAAGCAGAGTTAACATTTCAAGTTCAGTAACCCTTCATCAGAACTACTGCTGATATTGAGAATGAAAACAGGGGGAAGTCAATCCTACTCTGAACTAGAAACACTTTATTTATACCTCAAAACATTGAGGTGACTCCAGGAACCAAAGGAAGCAGGAATATACTGTTCAACCCTGTGGGCCTCTCCAGTCCTTTTTTTAAACTTGGCAAAAGTTTTGTTTTAGGAAGATCCCAAAGTAGCAATTGGTCCTTGTGTAGAAAGATAACCATTGAATGTCTCAATGCTTCCAGCTAAATCTGCCAAATGGTTTAATTACTTCATCAATCAACAGCTTTCCTACAATGGACTCTGTGCACCTTTGGAGAACTGGGGGGAATTTCTTCTCAACAAAGACAGTGACAGAGAGAGCAGCCAGAACATTTAATTTTAACTTGGCTGGATCCTCAGACAAACTGTCCAAGCAAACACTGCCAACCTATTGAAAGGATTTATTTTATTAAACTCGAATAAATCATTTCATCAGCTGTCGCCCGATGTTTACTATCAGTTCAGATCGCAGTTTTCAATAAGAGACGTGAAGCATCAAACACTCAGGAAAAGAAGATTTGTAAAAGGTAGGTTAGAATGGGAAAGACTTGGAAATGTTTTAATTTACAGTTCTTGTGATAAAAATGAGAACTTATATCTCATG